GGAGGAGGTGGTGGTGGTGGTGGTGGTGGTGGCAGAAGAGGTGGTGTTGGTGGTGGTGGGGGCAGGAGAGGAGGAGGAGGAGGTGGTAGTGGTGGTGGGGGCTGGAAGAGGTACTGAGATCTCGTGCAGGAGATGCGACGCAGACTGCATGGGCACTGGGTGGCTGTGCGATCAGTGGGGGGAGAGAAGGAAAGAGGAAGCAGCGACTCGTGCTCGCATGCCCAACTGAGCGACAGAATCCGCGAGTTCGAAGTCGCCATGAACCGACGCAGACGAGAGATGCTCGGCTACTAAGAGAGGGAGGAGGAGGAGGAGGAGGAGGAGGAGGAGGAGGAGGAGGAGGAGGAGGAGGAGGATTTTGGTTCTTTCTCTTCAAGAGGCTATGCAGTAGTCCCACCAGGCTCCGTCTCCGTTGCGCGATCCGCATCCTTCCTCCCTCACCTTGCACCAGGGCTTCCCCGCTGATCGCTCCTCCGTGCAGCCCGAGTACTCCTGCACCCCGAGCTTGAGAAGGGACGCAGAGGACGAGCAGCAAAGCAGGTAGATCCCAGAGCGAGAGTGAAAGGAAGGACAGAGGAAGAGGAGGGGGAGGGGGAGGGGGAGGCACCTGGTTCTTGGAGACGAAGGAGGAGCGACATGAGCAGCCGCTTTTAGTTACGATGGGACAGACGTCAAACCTCCTCCCGTCCTGCTCGCAGTCAGAAGCGCTCCAACATCCTCCTCCCCTTCCCCTCGCCCCGTCTACCCCCCTGCTTTCACTTCTCCCTCCCCCCTCCCTCGCTTTCTCCTCTCCTCACCTCCATCGCAGTCCCGCACGCATCCTCGACGACACACCATGCTTGTCCCTCCGCCAGTGAGTTGCTGCTGTCGTGAATGCACCCCGTGTGCTACTCTAGCTGTCACAAGTCCTTCGCATCCTCCATCCCCTCCCCTCTGCATCACCACCACCACCACCACCTCCTCCTCCTCCCCCTGCCCACACCCCCTTCCTCCTCCTCCTCTCACCTCTGCCCCATTGTAGCTGAACTTGTCGGCGCACTTGCAGCCATGGGACGTCACTCCCGGCCCTCCAGCCATGGCTCGAAGTTTCTGACGCGACGCCGCAGCCGCTTCCTTCTCCTGCTGCGACAGCACGACAGCCTTCTGTCGCTCCTCCTGTGCTGACAGCAGCTGGTCCTGCTCCAAGATGAGCGAGTGAGAGCAGGGAGAAGGCAGGAGGGGAAGGATGAGAAGGGAGGAAGGGGAGGAGGGAGGGGAGGAGGAGGAGGAGGAGGAGGTTACGACCTTCAATTGCTGCAGCTGCTCCTCCATCTGCTTCTCCTTCTCTTTGCTCGCTCCTCCCTTCGCCTCCTCGTCCTTCACCTGCTGCGTCGCTCGTCCCAGCGCCTCCCGAGCCTCCAGCTCAGCCGCCGCTGTCTTCTCCCCCTTCTCCTTCGCCTCCTCCAGCATCTTCTGCAGACGCGCCTCCTCTGCCGCCGCCTCCTCTTTGACTCGCTTCACCATGGCCGCGCTCGTCCCAGCTGACGCTGAGTAGTTCTCAGCTCGAGCAGCAGCTGCCGCCGATCTGATCCTCTCCTGCACATGTGTCATGGTGGTGATGGTGGAGGAGGAGGAGAAGGAGGCGGGCGGCTAGCTTCTCACCTCTTCCAGCGCCAGGCGCAGCTCGTCGACTCTCGCTTTGTCCGCACTTGCGTCAGCCTGCAGTCGATCAGGGGAGTGACAAAGCAGAAGGACATGAAGAGAGGAACCGAGGGGGAGGGGGGGGGAGAAAGAACACAAGGGTGTGAAAGAGAATGAAGGGAGGGGAGTGAGAGGGAGGGAGGAACAAGAGGATGCCCTCTCAATGGCTTGTAGAATTTCAACCTGGAGCGCCGCGAGCTTCGACTTGGCGTCTGCGAGCTCCTCCTGCGCTATGCGAGACGCTGCTGCTCGTTTCTCCCGCTCCATGTCCAAGTCCGAGCGAAGAGCATCGATTTCTGCAAGAGGAACAATCAGATAGAGGAGGAGGAGGAGGAGGAGGAGGAGGAGGAGGAGGAGGAGGGAAGGAGCAGTCACCTGTCTTTACAAGTATTTCTTCCTCTTCTGGTGCTGTTCAGTCTGATCTCTTCTTCTCTTGCCGCTCCTTCTGCTGTCAACACAGCAGAAGACGCTTGCTCCGCTCGCTGCAGACAACAAGTTCAGATCACCCTGACGCTCTTCTCTCCTCCCACCCCCCCCCCTCTCTCCCTCACCTCCACTGCTTCATCTCGCGCCGTGTTGACGGCCTTCAGCTTCGCGCGCAGCTGCTCGACTCGCTCCTTGGCAGTCATGACGGCATCGCGAAGAGAGGTGACGTTTCGCTCCTCCTCTGCCGACAGCAGCTGCATCTGGCGGATCAAGGCGTTCATCCTGCTCCTCTCCTGCTCTCCGTGTCAGTCCTCCTCCTCCTCCTCCTCCTCTCCTACCGTGTCCAGGTCTTCCTTCAGAAGCTTCTCGCGAGCATGCGACGCTGCCTCCGCCTGCTTCTTCTCTTCCAGTGCTGCCTCTGCTCCCTCTGCTCTTCTCTTCGCCTGATCCACTCGATGAGGACGCGACCCGCGCGCTCCTTCCCCTCACCTCCTTCAGAGCCTCCTCGTCCTCCTCCGTCCTCCGACCCGCCGACTGCAAGTCTCGTCATCTCCTCCCCACATCCCCTCCTCCCCTCCTGCTCCACCTGCTGCAGCAGCGCCAGCGCCTCCTCCGCCTCCTCCTTCTCCTTCATGGCAGCCAACGTAGCGTTGTGCGCAGCTTCGATGTCGCTGCACAGAGATTAGAGAAGGAAGGAGAGGAGGAGGAAGAGAGGAAGGGAGAGGAGAGGGATCAGGGAGATCGTGTGTTTGACCTGGCAGCCTTGACCATAGCGATGGCCTGCATCGATATCCTCGCATGCGCCTGCGTCATCGTCAGCCTCCTACCATGAAAGCGAAGAGGAGGCTGAGGAAGAGGAAAGGAAATGAGGAGAGGGGAGAGAAAGAACAAGGGAGCAGGTGGAGCAGGGGAGGGAGGGCGAGGGAGAAACCTGATCCAGTAGGTCGACCATCTCCTTCTCCTTCTCCTTCGCCTGGTTCGCCTGCTTCCCGTCAGGGAGGAGAGGAGCAGCGCCGCAGCTTCACCTCTCCCTCCTCGTCCTTCTCTCGTGTCTCAGCCTCTGCTTCCTTCACCATGGCCATCTGCTCTCCTTCAGCTCGTTTTTATATCGCACGCGACATTCACCTTCAGCTCGTTGCTCGCCTCGCTCGCCGCGAGCTTCTCCTCCTCCTCCTCCTTCTCCTCGCTCTCCAGCTTCGCCTTCCAGCTGCTCTCGCTCTCCTCCGCCAGCCTCTCCTTCTCTTCCGCCATCTGCCGCACGACTTAGGAAGAGGCGAAGGGAAGAGAAGGAAGACTGAGGGGGATCTGGGTGCTGAGAGGACGACGGGGGCAGCAGAGGAGAAGGAGAGCAGAGGAAAGGAAGGCAGTGACCAAGAGAGTGGACGAGGAAGGAGGAGGAGGAGAAGAAGGAGGAGGGAGGAGGGAGGAGGGAGGAGGGAGGAGGGGGAGGAGTGAACAACCTTGGCGTCATCCAGGGCCTTCTGAAGGTTGGAGGCAACTTCATTCATCTTCTCTTGCAGCTGATCTTTCTGACCCTCTGCTCGCTCAAGTTTCTGCTCGTCTTTGGACTTCACAGTCTCCAACTCTCGTTTCAGCTCCTCCTGCCTCTCCTCCGCCGACTTCTTCCTGCTCCTCCCGTCAGCTCCCCCCCCCATCGCCACGTCATCCTCACTCGTTCTCAAGGGCCTGCAGCTGAGCCTCAGCCGACTGAAGTCTCTTCTCTGCTGCCTTCTCAGCATCGGACGAGGTCGCTCCCGTCGCCTTCGCCTGCTGGAGCTATCAGGTCAACAAGTGTGCGGCTTCTCCTCCGACCTCAGCTCGAGCTGCCGCCAGCTCCTGCAGCGCCTTCTCCTTCTCCTCCTCGGCACGGCTCTCCGCAGCTCTCGCCTCCTCTGCTCACGGGTCAAGCTCTCCACCCACCACCTTGTCACTCCCCACCTGCTGCCTTCACAGCATCCTCCAGCTGAGCTGTCTTGCTGGCTGCGTCGGCGTTGGCCTTCGCCACCGCGCCCATGGCAGTCTGCTCGGCAACAATAGCTGAGAACCGCAAACTCCCCACAAAATCCCTCACCTCGGCAGTCTTGGAGGCCTGCAGCGCCTGCTCGGCCTCCTCCTTTTCCTTCTCCTCCGCCATGTCTCGCTCCTTGTCCGCCCTCCGCGCCGCCTCCTCCTCATTCTGTGCCTCCACCTGCAGCTTGCTGGCGGAAGTCTCGGCAGCGATCCGTCGATCTCTCTGCTTGCTCTGCACCAGCACGCGGTCAGGGCAGCGTAGTAGAACGAGGGGACGCGTGACGTACCTCCCCCTCCTCCGCCTCCTTCAGCTTGTTGACTTCTGCCGCCTCTGCCGCCTCTGCTGCCTGCTTGCTAAGCAGGGCGTTGGAGAGCTTCTGCTGTAAACTTCGGATGTCTTGCTGCATGCTTGTCAGCTCCGCCTGCTTCCCTTGCAGCTCCTGCAGCTCTCATTCAGATTCCACTTCCTCAGCTGAGGTTCAGCAGAGCTTCACCTTCTGCTTCTCCTCCGCGCGTTGAGCTGCTTCCTCGGCCTTGGCCTTGAGGGCGATGACTTGCCTCTCCTGGCTCTCCTGCTGTCGCTTCGCCTCCTCCATCGCCCTCTGAGCCTCCTCGGCCTTGTCCTGCAGTCTTGGTCATCCACCTTCCTTGTTCCCTCCTCTCTTGCTTCCCCTGCTCCTTCCTACCTTCCTCTCTCTAACCCTTCAACCCCCTGCTCTCCATCTCAGCCACTCTCTCACCAAGGCTTTCGTCTTCTCCTTCTCAGCTTCAGCAACGGCAGCAAGCGCCACGTTCTTCTGCTGCAGCGTCTCTTCTTTTTCCTGCTCAGCTCTCTTCATCAAGGCCTCCGCCGCCGCTCTTGCCTCGCGTGCTCGAGCAGTGGCGTTGCGAGTCTCGAGGAGAGCCTCATGCAGCATCGCGAGGTCGTGATCTTTGATCTTTCCTGCTGCCTTGAGCTTCCACACCTTCTCCTCTGCCACCCTCTCCTCCTCCATCGCCTTTGCTTCCAGCTCGGCCGCCGCCGCCGCCGCTGCTTTCGCCTCCTTCTCCGCCTCTACCGCCAGGTCCTGCGCATGTTTTGACTCCTCGAGAGCCTCCTCGCGCTGACCCGCCAACTGTTGTGAGGCCTCCAGCAGCTTCTCAAGACGCTCCTGCTCCTCCCTCGCCTCTTGAGCCTTCCCCTGAGAGATTGCAAGCTGCTTCATCCCCTCGTCGAGCTGATCCCTTGCAGCCTTGAGCTCTGCCGCCATCTCCACCAACCTCGCGTGCTCTTTGGTCACTTCATCCTCTGCCTCTTTCGCTTTCTGCTTCTCGAGCTCCACGAGGCCCTTCTCGTCCTCTTCCTCCAGCTCTGCTTTCTTCTCGGATGCCTCAGCTGCCTTCTCAGCGGCCACAGCTCTGTCCTCCATCTCCTCGGACTTCTTCTGCAGCTTCTCGTACTCGTTGGCTCTCTCCTGCTCCACTTTCATCCTCTCGAGCGCCTTCAGCTTTTCCCTTGCAGCGGCTTCGGCGCGGCCCTCGTCGTCCGTGGCTCGCTTCTTCCAGCTCTCCTCCTCCTCCTTCGCCTCCTTGGTCATCTCCTGCGCATCTTGAAGCTTCGCCGACAAGAACGCGATCCCCGCCTTCGCCTTCCCAAGACGGTCCAGCAGGCCGTCAGCTCGGCTCTTCGCGCCTTCCGCCTGCTTCTTGAGGTCGTCAAACTCGTCCTGGTCAAAGTTTTCTTTCGCCTTCCACCCCCGTCAGCATCGACCGGCACCGCGAGCTCGCGTACCTCATCCTTGGCGCTAGTCATGTCCGCTGAGACCATCTGATGCTGGGCTGCAGCAGGCGGTTCATGCTTGCACAACAACAGGAGGGAGGAGGCAATGAAGGGAGAGAAGTGAAGGAGGGGAGGGGAAGGAAGTACCCTTGCTCAACTTGTCGAGAAGTTCTTTGACTCTTCTTTCCAGCAGCAGCTTGACAGCTTTGTACTCAGACTGACAGGGGGGTCAGGCGACAAGAGGCGCGAGAGGCTGCGGGACCTTGACGGAGATCAGCTGGTCGTGCATCGTGTGCTTCTGAACCTCGTTGACGAGGAGAGCACCGCTGCGGAGATATGTGAGCGACGAGAGCAGGAGCAGCGGACATCGAGTCTGTCTTACCTCAATCGAGCAGCTCTGTCCTCCTGCGACTTGAGTAGAGCAGCTTCACGCTTGGCGAGGTTCTCTGCAGCCTTGACCTTCTTCTGCATCTCCAACCTTGTGATCTCGTTGCGAATGACGCCAGCCTTGGCGATAGCATGCTGACGTTCAACTTCCTTGTCCAGGATGGACTTGGCAGTCGCGAGATCTCTCGCCGCCTTCTTCTTGATGGCAGAGATCTCGGCTCGCGCCAGCGTCTTGGTCATCCATGCTGAGTTCCGTTCATCCTGGTCTGCTATCCACCTGCTGTCTTGTCGCTTCTTCTGGTTTGACAGCATGTCCTTCAACCTCATCATATCCTTGATGCTGTTCCAGTCCTTGGGCTCTGCATCTTCGCTCTTCAGGTCGCCTGCTCCCTGCTCCCCCACAGCATTTGCCTTGAGCCCTTGGCCTCGAACTCCATCAATGTTGCCTGCGCGTAAATCCGAGTGGATATGCTGCCCGAACTCGGACGAGAACAGTCTCTTGTCCAAGGCATCTTTGAATTCGTTGGATGAGCTGGAGAGGGACAGCATCGGCCGACGGGGTCGAGTGTCTCCGTTGCCTCCAAAGCCGAAGAGGGAGCGGAAGATTGACTGTCCAGATGCTGCTCCCAGGAGGAGGAGGAAGAGCAAGTGTTTCAAGCACATCCCTGATCCCATCTTGTCACTCCTTCACTCCCTGCACAGTTTGTAAGCACGGGTTCCATGTGTATCCATGTGTGCATGGGCTCGCATCCGATCTCGCATTCTCTACTGATCCTGCAGCCTCTCTTTCTCTCGCATTCTTGTCTAGTTTCGCACTCACCTCAGCATGTCCAGCGACTTGCCGTTCTGAAACTATCGCGGTGCAGGTCTGAAGGAGGGAAAGATCAACAAAAATGGACCCAAACTTGAAAATGTTTTGTAATTACAAAATATTTACTCACTTCATTATTCAATTGAAACTTCAATCAATAATCAATATACTAGTCAACCACAACAGCCCCTCGTCGGTTCTCGTTTCAGTCCTCCCGAAATAGCAGACTGGCAAAATTTGACACTACCCAGAGTAGGAATGAGGGCGATGAGATGTGGTATGAGGGTGATGATTAATATTTGTTAGGGGATGAGGGCAATTCGGAGGCGAGAATGGAGGGAGAAGGGGGAGGTAGGAGGAGCTTGTGGTGGAGGAGATGAGAGCTCTGTTGGTTCTTGTGAATGATTCCTGTGTGATTGTAGATGCAGAAGTTGAGCACGTTCTTCTCCACCTGTTTCCTTGTGATATTTCATTCCATCCACTTCTCCCATTTGAGTATCCTGCCAGGTCTCTTCTCAAAATTTTGCACATCGTGCCGCCCTTTCATCAGATACAAGGAGGCACATCACGAGTTTGATGAGTTGCAGTGACCACTCGTAAGATCTCCCCGAGTTCGCTCTTGTTCATTGACCCTGCATCCTAGGACCCATTGGTGCAGGACGCCGGCTGACCTCAGAGCTCTCTGCGCGTCGTACAAGCGCGTGCATCTCTTCCTCGGCAACGGGCCAAGGCTGCAGTACGAGGATGTCGAGCAGGTCTGGCAGAACTTGACTCCCGTCCTCCGAGAACTCGACGAGGAGGCTGGGGGACCGCAACATTGGCTTGCGGTGTTCGGGGGCGACTCCGATGTCGGGTACGGAGACCCTGCAGGGTACGACATGGGGAGGGTGAGGGAGCAAGAGGGTGAAGCTAGCATGCTCAGCCATGGAGGCGCAGGTGATGGCAATGCTGCGAGAGCGGAGGGGAACCAAGCTGCTGGCTGTGGTTGGGTGGGACGACGTTGATGCTCACGTGGACTTCGCATACAAGTGCTCGACGACAAACTGTTTCTGTATCATCTCAAGCCTACTCAGGTACAATATCGAGATCGATGAGGACGGGAAGGAGCTCTATGGAGGACTGCTCGGTTGCTGCCTTGTGCTCACTCGTCCTCCTGACCTTGTGGTCTACAAGAATCCGGACGTGCGGTGGGAGGGACTGGGGTCTACCTGGGCGATGAATGGAGGAGGGAAGGATGGCCGTCCTCGGTAACTACAGCTCTCCCTCAGTTTGCATGCACTGATCTCGTTGGACTTCAGGTCATCGCAGTTGGAGCTGGAGGGCGGGTGGGCAAGGTTGAGATCGCCTACGCTGAAAGCAAGGTGCATGTGTTGCATGCGGGGGCATGGGGGGGCTCACTTCAGCTCGCTGCATCAGGGGATTCCTGTACGACGAGTGGAAGCCCAAGCTCGTTCGCGCTTCTGAGCTGAAGCACAAGTGAGGAGGTGATCAGAGAAGAAATGACGGGGAGACACAGATGGGCTTTGTGGACCCTTCCCTCCTCCCTCCCCCCTCCTCCCTCCTCCCTCCTCCCTCCTCCCTCCTCCCTCCTCTCCCTTCCCTCCTCCCTCCTCCCTCGTATC